GTCTCTGGCGGGGGGCAACCCGCCTATCCACGGCCGAGCGGGGTGGATCTGGACTGAGCTCCCGGCGTGGAGGTGCCTAAGGCGGTGCCGCTGGAAGCGGGGCTGCGCTCAAGGGCAGAAAGGCCATCACATTAGCAACCCCCTCCAGCTTCATTTCCCTTGCCAACTCCGGGCTAGCCGTCCCATTGAGCCGTGGGGGGGGGGGTCCTCAATTGCCTCCCCCCAAAGCGAGTGTTCTTAGGAGCCAGCGAATCACACCCCCACACACTGGGCCGGGCCGCTTCCTGCCACCGAGCCGGGGATCCGAACCGCAGACTGGGGAGGGGGGAGGTCCGGCCCAGACGGTGACCAAGGGCATTTTGGCCGGAGCGTCGCTAAAATGTTTCCTTTCTCTCCTCCCCTCCCCCTGCCCGCCCCGCAACCCTCCCCCCCCTCCAGCCATCATGCTGACGAGGCTCTTCAACGAACCCAGCCTGCTCCCCGACGTGCAGAAATTTCCCGGCTGGGCGGGGGAGTGCGACGAAGATGAGGGCAGCGAGCCGGAGGAGAGGAAAGGGAAGAGCTGCCCGCTGCAGGAGGAGGCGAGGGAAGGCTCCCTGGGCGAAAACAAAGAGGAAGGGGACCTAGGCGGGGACGAGGAGGAGGAGGAGGAGGAGGAGGAAGGGCTGGAAGAGGCCGAAGGGGACCGGCCCAAGAAGCGAGGCCCGAAGAAGCGGAAGATGACCAAGGCCCGGCTGGAGCGCTCCAAGCTGCGGCGCCAGAAGGCCAACGCGCGGGAGCGCAACCGCATGCACGACCTGAACGCGGCGCTGGACAACCTGCGCAAGGTGGTGCCCTGCTACTCCAAGACGCAGAAGCTCTCCAAGATCGAGACGCTGCGCCTGGCTAAGAACTACATCTGGGCGCTCTCCGAGATCCTGCGCTCGGGCAAGCGGCCCGACCTGGTGAGCTACGTGCAGACGTTGTGCAAGGGCCTGTCGCAGCCCACCACCAACCTGGTGGCCGGCTGCCTGCAGCTGAACTCGCGGAACTTCCTCACGGAGCAAGGCCAGGAGGGCGGGCGGTACCACGGCCCCAACTCCTCCTTTGCGCTGCACCCCTACCCCTACCCGTGCGCGCGGCTGTCGGGCGCGCAGTGCCAATCCAGCACCATGGCCAGCTCCCACGCCTTGCGGACACATGCCTACTGCGCCACCTACGAGACCCTCTATGGGAACGCGTCCCCCGACTACAACAGCTCGGAGTACGACGCCCCCCTCAGCCCGCCCCTGTGCATTAATGGCAACTTTTCCCTCAAGCAGGACTCGTCCCCGGACCACGAGAAAAACTACCACTATTCTATGCATTACTCCGCCCTGCCCAGCTCCCGGCCGGCCGGCCACAACTTGGTGTTTGGCTCCTCCGCCATGCGCGCTGGGGTGCACTCCGAGAACATCTTGCCTTACGACATGCACCTGCACCACGAGCGAGGCCCCATGTACGAAGAGTTGAATGCCTTCTTCCACAATTAACCCCCCTTGTGACCACCCCGACCGCCCCCCCTCACCGCCACTGCACATAGCAACCCCCCCCCCCACTTCCATTCTGTCCTAGGGTTTAAATGTTGCCTCCTTCACCCCAAAACTGTGAACGTACAATTGTTAGGTGTCTCCCTGTAACACACACACACACACACACACACACACAAAGCTCAACTTAAAACTGTCTGTGAACCAGTCTCCCTTTTAATTATCCCCCCAGAGAGCAGACCAGAACAGAGTATACACTGAAAAGAAAATTTACTTTGGTGCAATATATATATATGATGTAAAAAATGTTTATTATTTAAAAAAAAAGCTAACCTTCGGGGTTGCAGTCGATTGAAACAATGTCTATTTTGGACAAATGGAAAGAAGGTTTCAGGGAGAAAAAATGGAAAATGATGCTCCTCTCCCCCTCCCCCCGATCATTTTTAAAGAGCAAAATGTTGCTAGTAAAAAAATGGGGAGAAAAGTGGAGAAATAAAGCAAATTTTCCTCCCCCCTCCCACATAAAATATATGTTTGGCTACACATCAAAGTACATTTTAAACCAGGCCAGCCCATTTGGGTTTTTAATTAATTCCTTCGTTTAAATTCAAGATGCTTTTAGAAGGGGTTATCTCAGAAAGGGGGAATTCTGTATTCTTTCCGACGATTAAATATAAGATCCCACGGAAGTGTAACTAAGAAAAAAATGTTTGCAACTTCAAATCAGCATTTCAATGCAGTGAGAACTTTTAGAAGCAATAAAGAGGCAAACAGAAGATTAATCTATATATATATATCTATGCAAGTAGGTACTGAACTAGAAAAGTAAAACACAAAAGAATTCATATGGAATATTAGACTATGGACCAAGCAACTTGTTGAGGTTAAAAAGGTGCACTTTTTGATTTGAAGGGAACGGAATGTTTATGTTCCTTTCATTGTTAACAATCAGTGACTTCCGCGTTTTTGAACACCCTTGTACCACAAGTAACATATTTTCCAAATTGTGTGTCATGATGTTTTTTACCTGTTTTAAAAACTTTTAAAAAAGAGGAAAAAAAGATTTCTATGAAATGGCAAAAATGTTTTGTTATGCATGGGTAGGAGCAAAAAAAATGCAAATATGCAAATTATAAAGGTGGTGTGAAGAAAGCACTTATTATGCTATATATTTTAGTTGGCTATTTTTCCTATAATGAGTAACCTTTAAGTTATTTCTTTATGTAATGCATTTTGGGGGGAGGGAGGGGAAATTTGTGTAAGGAATACATCCGTATAAAAATATGATCTCAAGACCCAAACTGATATATCCTGGAATTATTTTTGGTGCATCAGTCTAAGTTGTTTCATTATTAGTTATTCCGATTTTAACGCATCATTTAAATCAGGAAACATTATGAAATATTTTAAACCTGCCTACAACACCTTTAAACATACCAGCATTTTTAAATACAAGAGAGGAAGAGAATTTCTGATAAATGTTTTAAAAAAAGTTTTACAAAAAAAAATTGTAGCAAAGGTGAAAATGTCTATCAGACACCAGAAGTGCTTTTTGTGTTTCTGTTCCGTTTAATTAAGATTAATAAATATTTATGTCAAATGATATGCAAAAGAACAGACAGTTTCTTACAATGATGTAATTTTTAATCAGTATTGGTTTGCTGTAATCATTCACACAAAGTCTCTCGGTTTTCCATACGCCCCAAAGTTATTCTTCATTTTCGATAGCGTCCTAAGGCAGATCTTAAAGGCATCCAAATTTTTATTTTCCCTTACATCTTTCTGACACTATCTTTCAAAAGTGAGATCAAAAAATGTAAGCAAACGAAACAGAGGCTGAGAAACTTACCAGAAACTAGTGTGTGTGTGGGGGGTGGGGGGTGCTTACAAGCTAGAGAGGTTTACAAAGTAAATAAATAAATTGCATGCATCAGTATAAAAAAGAAATATTTTTCCAGACTCTAAACTCGTATTCAATTGGATGTTTTAAGTATTACTCACAGTGGAAAATTCCACTAGAGCTGATCTCTTCTGTGAAATGCACCAGTATACTCATTTGACGTTAAGAGCAGCCGTCAGTTGTGATTTGATTCAAAAGTGTAATTAACAAGCGTCCTAAGACGACAATTAATAAATATTAAATGTTGACTCTGTCATGTTTACTAGTTTACTTGAAATACTCATGCTAAATATATATACACGAGACCCCATTCTTTCAGCCTAAGCATTCTCAGAGTACTTTTTTTTGAGTGAAGGGGCAAAGGAGATTTCAGAGCGACTCCGTTCCCAGATGCTTAACTTGTCTTCAAGGCAGCTGTCGATTGGCAACACGCTTAAAAATATATAGGGACTTTTGGAAGAGTCACGTTAGATTGTATAAAGCCTAATGCAGTTTCCTTGTCTCGTATCCAGCTGGCATCTCCTTGCAATCTTTTTAACAATGTTTTTTTTTCCTTTCCTTTATTCTGCACTGTACTTGCGCGATAAAATTAGAACAACCACCAAAAAAAAAAAAAAATCGAAATACTGGTGCAATGCATGTATGGTTTGCCAAACAGAAAAAAGAAAACGTTTTGAGATAAGGCTCACAGGGCGTGTAGGTTAATATTCCTGCTTGCAGAATTTTTTAAAAATATATCATTATTATTTTTTAAAAACACCCCTCCCCAGCAGCACTGATATAAAACCTCTGTCTACCAGGAAGGTGATGTGGAGATGGGGGGGCACCCATATCACCCCTACCTAAATGCAGCCGGGCCATCCAGCTGGTTCGGAGGGAGGCAGAGGTCTGAGTCATTCATGATGGCCCCCGAAGTGACACTAAGGGGCTGGCAAAGGCCAAGCTTTTGGTCCCCCCCACGCCCACACGCCCCCACGGTTTGCTATTGTCTGCGAGCCGGGCGGCGTGTGCCCAGGCTGGGAGCTGTCCAGAGCTCCCTGGTGCTGAGCAAACAGCTTCGCAGGCAAGCGACGCTTCCTATTCAAAGGGAAGTTCAGGCCCCGAGCACCAATACAAGCCGCTGGCGACCCTGCATCCACCCTGGTCCTTTCATCCCCACCCCTCTCCTTGGCGCGGGAATCCGGAGTCGGGACTAGGGGGCGCAGGGGTTCCTGTCCACACGGGAACACCAGGCTGCCGCCCCACCACCCGGCCCGCTGGAGGGGAGACGTGGCCAGCCAGGGAGCGATCTGGACAATCGCAGGAAGGGCAGGCAAAGGCCCCCTATAAACCTGTCTCCCCAGGCTGTTGGCTCCCTTTGGGGGAGGCCCGGGCAGAGCCAAAACGCGCCAGTTTCAATCTGCCGCGCCGCGGAGTTTGGCTCCAATTCCTATTCGGTTTGCCCCCCACTCCTCCTCCAGGAAACGAACAAGCCACCAGGGCGGGTGGAAAGGTGACCGTGAACTTACCTGCCATTAAAAACCGAGAAGGGGGGAGGGGAATAAATCGCACCTTTCTTTGAAGGCTAATTGAAGGTTTTTTTTCCCTTCCTATAATGAGAGAGACTCTCTCACTGGACCTGCACCCTTACACCGCAGAGAAGAGAAAGGGGACCGTGAACCTTCCCACGGAGCACCCACTCGAAAGGGCTGCTGCCTAGAGACACACACGCGTGCGAACCAGGGGTACAGCTGTGTAGATTGGGCGGCTCCGCTTCTAGGGGTACTTCGGCTATGACCCCTCTGTTACGTCTACCAGCATCGAATCCAACGACCTAACTCGGATGTCTACGCTATGGAATTATTTCGAAGTAGTAACTCCCGAAATAGCTATTTGGACATCAGTATTTCGGGAGTTATTGTTTCAAAATAGTGACTGCTGGCGTTATTCTTTCGAAAAAACTATTGTTTCGAAATAAATGCCCGGTGTAGACCGGTGGTTCGACACCCCTCGGGAGGAATCGCTTGCACAAAGTCGGGGTACAGATAATGTTTGGGTGAGACGAAAAGGGATTTTTTCCTGGGGAAAATCATTCGGAGTTCTGACTTGCACTGGGAAAGGCGGAGTGGCCGAAGGAAGGGGGCACACATGAGGAATCGGGTCTGGCTCCAATTCGAGGAGCACAGAAAATGGCACCTTTAAATTCGCTCTAATTCGGTGCAGAGACAACTGGCTGATTCCCCTCCTCCCCCAACCTTCTCGCTGAAGGTGTGCAGAACAGGCGAGGGCCCCCCGTGGGGGAAATACTGGGGGGCTTTTATCCCCAGAAAGCTCTGTCCTCCAGGACGCCAAGAATGTGGTTTTTAATTCGGATTTTCAAAGTTCTCGAAACGGGCTCTGAAGCGGAACTCGCTTTTCAACTCCCCCAGAAGGGAGTAAGGAACCCCCCTCGCCCCATAAAGAGTGGGAGCAGAGAACTTTAGCATTCAGAAGCTCTGATACCAGCCCACACCACAGCGGGAAAGTGAATCCAGCCGCCGCCTCTCTGCACTTTTGAACCCCTACAAAATATCCCTGCTAGAAACAGACAAACCTTCGCCCAACCGCGCCGACAATTCGATTCGCAGTCACCCGGGCTTAACCGGCGTTGGTTTGAAACATAGCAGAGAATCGGGAGGAAAAGCGGCCCCAGCCAGCTCGGAAGTTGGGAAGTTTATTAGAAGAGGGGCTAATTTTAGGGGCGACGGAAGAAGAGGGTTGGATGAAATCCGCGGGGTATAATTTCTCCTCAACGCCCCCCGCCCCTCACACACAAAAGTTTCCCCGTTTTGCGAAGTTCTTTTCTTAACTCCTCTGTCCAGGTCTGCTTTCCTCAGGGAATCTAAAAATGACCCCCACGCCCCAGTAAGCGGTTTAAGAAAAACGTGCCGCAACTACGGAATTCAGGAGCATTGTCCCTAAAAACACACCAGTTAAAAGCTTTCGCCTCTTGGCTTCCAAGCTTGCCGGTTTCCAAAGGGAAAACTCGGGGTTTGCGGTGGCATTTCCTCCCTACGATCCATCCCTTTCCCCGTTTACACATGCCCAGCGAAGCGGAGAGCTCGGCTGTGTCAGAGCAGGAAAAAAAAAAGAGTCCAGCCTAATTCGAATCGAGATCCACGCTAGAGCTATGGGAAGCGGATCAAAGCCACCGGCCGCGGTATGTCAACTCCCCAGTGGAGTTGCAGTCTTTAGGGCGAACAATTATTTCCCGTAACGATTCTTCAAGCTTCCCCTTCTGTTTGATGTGTTTAGGACCTACAGGGGCCGGCCAGAGCAGGAAAAAAAAAAGAGTCCAGCCTAATTCGAATCGAGATCCACGCTAGAGCTATGGGAAGCGGATCAAAGCCACCGGCCGCGGTATGTCAACTCCCCAGTGGAGTTGCAGTCTTTAGGGCGAACAATTATTTCCCGTAACGATTCTTCAAGCTTCCCCTTCTGTTTGATGTGTTTAGGACCTACAGGGGCCGGCGAAAGACACCCCCCCCCCCACATACCCAACGGCTACATACACACAATC